CCTATCAGGACATTTGATGCAATGTCCTATCAGGACATTTTTTCACTGTTCAAAATAGTTTTTAAACTCATGGAGTTTAAAGTGTTTTAGTGCTTCTGCCATTTTTTGTTGCACCTCTTCCACACTGGCAAAACGTTGCCCTTTGAGGTCTTTTTTCATCTGGGAAAACTAAAGAAAATCTTGCTTGGGCAAGATGAGGTGAATAGGGAGGGTGGGCCATGGAGGTTATGCCGTTTTTAGTCAAAAACTGCTGAACACTCAGTATAGTGTAGGCAGGTGCACTTGTAAGTCATCCATTGTGAAATGGGCAAATGCGTTAAAAGTCTTAAAAAAAAATTCACTGAAACCGAACACAGCTTCTCACAACAACGCCACCTGGTACACTGATACAGATGGATTCCAAGAACACTTACCCAGAGGGAGGAGCCTGCACTGTAAGAGGCCTGACCTCCAGGAGATAATTCCAGGTTTTTTGGGTCCCCTCACATGTCCCCTCATATATCCATCTTTTCTCACCTTATGGAGGTCTCATTTGACCTATCCATTTCTTAATCTCTTATTTACAATAATATTCTCCTCCACCCAAACTTAGCCCCCCCAACTCCCATGGGTACACTTTAGAAGATGCCAACACCCATAAATGCCCTACCTCTGAAATCACTTCTTCAGATATCCTGCTGTCTAACCATAATCTTTCATCCTTCCACCTGGTGTGCTCAACCATACCTGATATAACTGCTCTTCATCTTACTAGCACTCAGCTTTTTCCAATGGGCCTCTTGCTGTCTTCTCTTCCCTCGATATCCAGCTTGCATCCCATGATCCATCTTGGCAACCACTGTCTCAACATCTTCAACTCCTTTGTTCCTTTCAACACACTTCATGAGAAAATCTCCATGCTGGATGACTCTAAATGTCTGCCTCCCACATGCGCACCGCCAGACAGCTGAGCTCTGCTGAATAACAGAGCAGTTCCACTATGAATCAGTATCATCAGCTGCACCCTCAGCACAGCCTAAAACCCTACTATAGTTCTCAAGTCAGCTCACACTTCTACTTACCACAACTACAGGAATCCTTTTCCACTTTCTACAAACATTCTCATCCTTCCCTATTAGTTATCAGCAAATGACTCATCTGTTTCACAGAGAAAAAGAAAAGCCATCAGATGGAAACAACTCCAACCTGCCATCATCACATCCACAGGCCTACCTACATCTATGCACACCCATCTTCTTCTCTTTCCTCCGTTATAGAAGAGCGGACCCTCCTCCTGCAGAGAGCCAACGTCAAGAACCTACGCCTTCCTCCCATAGCCTTTCACCTCCTACATGCAGTACCCTTTAATAGCTATCCTCACCCTAAGGATAAAGATCAAAATCTAAAGTGCAACGAGCTCCTGCCTCTCCTTGCCGTTTCATTTCATGCCACACTCCTCTCCTCCCCACAACCACTATGCTTCAGGCAGTCATTCATTCAACAGATAATAATTAGTGATGGGGACAGAACAGTAAACAAAAGAGCCAAAACTTCTCTACTGTCACGGACTTACATTCTAGTTCCATGAAGATGCCAGGCCGCTCCTCACCGCAGGGCCTTGCCATGTGCACAGCCAATCCCTGCTCACCCTCCAATCTGGGCTCTGCCACCCTTCCTCAGGGAACCAGTCCCTGACCCTACCAACTAGGTCTGGTCCCCTTATGAAACCGTCCCATGGCTCTAAACTTTCTGGTGTTACAATGCAATTAAAATTATTTAATGTCCATCTTTTCTGTTATATCTTCAGGGCACAGCACAGAACTCGGAACACAGAAGGCACTCAAGCATATCTGTTTATCAGTGAAGATGTGTATGTTTATGTACATGTCTTTATACTTTATGAATATGTTTGTGTAAATACACTTGTCTGTAGATTTCCATACATTTCTGCAGGTGACCCTGTGAATATGTGTATATATACATGTTTGCATGTATGGATACCTATAAACAGTTTCTGGCATGCCTACTTAGGTGTATGCACTCACATGACCGCATACATGCATGTTCATGTATGTGTGGCCGTGTGCATGTGTGTGAGTTTTCTGGCCCCTCAGTGACAGCTCTGACCTCCTGGAGGGAGCTGGGAGCAGGGCCCCAGTCCTCTCTCAGCTGACAGTTCAATAAGAATATAAGGTCATTCAATGACACTCCAAATGTCAGCAAACATTGGCTTGCTCCACTCTGCTACAGGGGAAGGAGGTGGAGGCGGGAGAGGTGGAAACCTGGTCGTTGAAAAGCTGCTCTTCCCTGATGTGACCCACACCATTTCTGGACAGGAGAGGGCAGCTGAAAGACAACATTCTGCTTCTTCTCAGATCAGAGGCCTTAGGAAATGGGGGTGGTGAATTCAGTCCAAGTTGTTCACTTACTAGACAGACCTAGGTGACCAAACAGACCAGAACCCTCCCCATTCTTTCCGTAGGGCAAACCTCTCTAGGGGAGTTACGGAGGAGAGGAGGAGGAAAGAGAGGAGGAGAGGAGGAGGAAAGGGAGGAGGAACAAAGTAATATCAAGGACTGGAGGGGACCACGTAGATAGCCAGAGTATAGGTCACATATGTGGGAAAAAGGCAAAGACAAGGCTTTCACATAGTATCCCCACAACCTTGGCAATGATCTCACTGGCTTTGCTTTTACTGTTACTCTTTTTAAGGGAGCAGGAATCTTTGTGCAGCCTGTACTAAGTCAGGCAGTACAAAGGTCAGAAAGACCACCGTGCCCGTAGACCTCCAGGGCCCTGCGGTTTCCCCAATTTGAGTGGCTGCTGGCAAGGATTGAAGCAAAGCTGAAATATGACGAGGCTGTAGGACAGAATGGAAGGGGTTAGACCTCTTGTTTCTCCTAGACCTGCTAAGTTTACCTCCCAAGAGGCAATCACAAGGCCAACTGGGAATAAAGTACCGAGTTCCCCCATGCCCACCCCCACCCCTCGTGCCCATTCCTCTTCTATGGCTCAGCAGTGTCTGGCAGAGAACTTAGCTGAGCAGGCTCAGGAGAGCCCACCTCCACCCCCTAGCAGCACCAAGGTAGCCCTGATTGGTGATATTACCACATGGGTTGGCTGCTTTTCTGCCTTTCTGCCAAGGAACCTAGAGGGAGAGAGCTATCCATATACCAAAAAGTCTAGTGAACTTCACAGAGCAATTGTTCATGGTCAGTGCCTGCCTCGCCTGGCTGGGCCTTCACATTACATTTGCCAAGGCCAGCAAGCAGCCTCAGATGCAGCCTGACAGCTGGCAGAGCCATCTTCCAGGAGCACAGGCCTAGCCATACAGGCACGTGCAACCCTTTCAAGTCCCGAATGAGAGGGCCTCTACAGAGCAGCTCTCAAAACTGGCCACTTGTTCAAAGAGCACATGCTCTGGACCCTGCCCTGATCTGGCCACTGGGCACACAGAAAGGAACCAGACTCAGTCTGTTATGCAGGCAGACATGTCTGCAAGGAAGCACACACACACACGGACCCAGTTTCAACACTCTAAGCTCCAAAGTGTCAAGGAGTCTCAAGGCAAGAGACTGGCTGGCTAAGCTTCTCAGCAGAGGTGATAACGAAACTGAATCTTCAAGGAGAGGAATATGCTGGTGAAGATGACTGGGGGGCACTTCTGAAAGAGGTGAGGTCACAGGCCAAGGGCCAAAGGTAACACAGAGCCTGGCTGGCCTCCTCGGCCAAAGGCGGTAGGTAGTAAGTAGCTGTTGTTTGGGTGCACGGAGGTAGGAGAGGTGGGTAGGGTCCAAGTACAAACAAATCAGAGTGCAGAGGACCCGCATACCATAGGAAAGTAAAGGAGTTCACAAATGTTGCCTCAAATAAGGGTTGCCCTGAGACCTACGGGACAAAGTCCACAGTCATTCTGTCCCATGTTCCTTCATAAGCTCACTTAGATGCAGCCCCCCCACACATCAAGAGCACACTGCCCCCCCCCGCCTAGAAAGCCCCTCCTCCTCAGATCCATATCTCACCTCCCTTGAATATGCCAGTTCAAGACCCAAACCCTATGACCCTGGCCTAACCTTCCAACGAGCTCTCTGCCCTGCGCGCCCCGGAGCCCCTACTCTCACTCCTGGTGTGCTCTCCCGTCCCGAGCTTCCTGGGAGTCACTGCTGACTAGCGGCTGGGGTTCCTGAGGCTGCCCCAGGGCTTTTGCTCTTGCATCAGAAGGATTTATGGCGATGAGCCTCCCTGGTGGACTGGGTCTCCTGGAGCAAGGAACCCACTAGAGCTGAAAATGGAGAGTCTACTCCTACTCCTTTCTTCTGCTTATCCAGCAAGCATATACTAGGAAAGGACAGTTTTCTAAGTGACTCACTTTCCTAGCCACGGGGGGTCCCTCCCAGCCCACAGCGTCTGCCCATTCACCAGGTGCTTGGTGCTACATTAGTGCTAGTCTCCTCCTTCACGCTCAGAGAAACTTGGGCTGTGGTCTCCATGGCCCTTCACATGAGCAAGGCTCTGCTGTGGCCAGGCAGCACCAAAGCCAGCCTGAAACACCCCTACCTCCTCACCAGAGGAAGACACCAGGGCCATTCGGGAGGGTCAGAGGCCACACTCCTGAACATATCGAGGAGAACACTTCCCCAGAGGCTCCGCTAGCACCATATCGCTCCTCGAGGTAATGCAGCTCAGCTCAGAGATTCAGCTCCAAGGAAGAACCTGGAAAACCCCCTTAACTGGAACTTCTCGGCACGTCCGAGTGACACCAAATAGGGAAGTATCATACTCCACTTAGCAGCCTGGTCCCCAACCAGCTCCCCAGTCCCAGAAATGGCCACAATCTTCCAGTGCACATTAGCTAGGGAAGAGGAGAGAAGGATGTTGAGAAAAGAGCAGAACAAAAAGAAAGGGAGCGATGAAAACAACAAAAAGAAAACAACAGAAACTAGAAAGGCAGCGAGGGCTGGGGGGAGATTTGAGACCAGGAGACCCAGGTGAAGCACCCAAGCAGGGCTCAGACACAGTACCTTTTTCAGATTGATCCACTGCTTGAAGTAATCTGCCACTGGCAAGCCCAGGTACTGGCACTGGCCTGGGAGCCTATGAAAAAGGGAAGAGAGAACAAGTTGGGCACACCCACTTCCCAGGTGTAAAATCTTAAGCTAGGGAATTCAATGTAGAGTCTATAGTCAAATAGATCTCAAAAGGCCAACCCATCAGCCATGGGTCCCACCCCACCCAAGGAACGCACCCCACCTCTAGCACCCTGGACACCACGCTCCAGATCCAGTCCTCAGACCCAAATGTGAAAACCTGAAGACTATTCAAAATAATAGCAGCAGCTCCTATTTGCTGATGGCCTACAATATGCTAAGTATCTTACTTATACTTTCACATTATTCTTCAGAATGGTGCTGTGAGGTAGGTACTATGGCCTACATTTTACAGATGAAAAAATGAGATTAAGAGGGGTAACTAAGATCCCACAGCTAAAAAAAAAAATGACAGTGCCAAGAACTGAACCCAGCTCTGTCTCACTCTAAATCCTAGGTTCTCTCCAGTGCACCAGCTTGTTTTGTTAGAGCAGGGAGGCAGAAATACAAGACAAGAGGAGAGAGAGAAAGAGCACATGAGTTAGAGATAGCTGGGCAGGGACTTCCACTCACATTTAAGTCTCTAGCAATAGGCTTTCTGCAGACAGAGAGGAGACTATGCAGAAGGACGAGAAGAAGTCAGAATTTAAGCTAAGAATCTGTTCTTGTTTTTTCTTTAAATTAAAGTGTATAAACTGTCTCCCCTTGTAGCTGATGAGGCCATTTTACCCACACGAATCCATTCACCTGAACATTTAATTAGAGTCAGGCACTTAGGACTCAAAAAGTAAGACAACTCCTGCCCATAAGGGGCTCACAGTTTGTTCAGTGGAATAGACAATAAAAGTAGACAAAACAGCCTTAAGTTGGGGCATGGGGAACATGGAAGAATGGAGGAAAAACCGAGAAATATCAGCTAGGGAAGATCAGAGTTTTCTTGCTGAGAGAGGAGCTTAGCCACTGGCAATAGAGAGCCTTCAAAGAGTTGTGATTTACAATGATTATGCCAAGGCAAAAAAAAACCCACCCCACTTTACACTAAGAAAAGCTGGAGAGTAGCCTGGAGACTAGACTACAGTCACAGAGATAGTGAGCCAGCAACAGACAGGGGAGATGCAAAGGAGGAGTGAAGGGGGCCTGGGGCCCCGTGAGAGAAAGCAGTAGCAGCCAGTTCAAAGATTCATGCCTTGGGTAGCTATATGCTTCTCACTAAGACAGAGATAAAGGAGGAGAAAGGGTAGACAGAGCACATTTGACACCCACAGTGGACCAACATTTAGTCAACTGTATGATTGTTTTTAAGTCTACATACAATGTATCCTCTTTCTGCCCAAACCAGGGTGGACTGCTCCCACTGCCTCCCCGCAGCACACCACGGGAAGGAGACAAGAGTTTGGGAAGGCAGTGGTAAGCAGATTCCTGACACACGGCAAACACTCTCTGTTGAGTGTGAGGCGCCCAGGAGACATCCAGCAGTGGGGTGATAGCTAAGAGGCAGCTGGATATCCAATTTTAAAGAGAAGCCTGAAGATACAAAGTTCCGAATCATTAATGTAACATACGTAAAATTAAAGCCATGAGAATAGATTAAGATCAGCTGGGAACAGTAAGAAACGAAGAGCAGAGGGCCTGTGTCTTGTAAGTTTTGTTGAGCTGAAACAACCAGGCCACCCCCACCAGACCGTTACTGCACACAAGGAGCTCGCTGCTTCATGGAGTGGGCAGCTCCAATGTTGGACTCCTTCGACCCTTCGATTCTTGGACTGCCCTTCCTTAATGCTAAACTATGAATGTTACCGTCACCTTGTAACTTCTACCCTGAGGTTTGTCTTTGGAAACTACAGAGAATGAGACTTCCATCTCTTCCTTGCAGAATGGTCCCCAAGATCTGAGAGCCTAGAAAGCTTCCCCCAGAGTACCGTTCTCCAAGTCACACAGCCTCAGCTCCTTCAACAATTCCACAGGAACCGGCCAAGACGGAGGTGTAGGTGGAAACACTATACCTCCTCACACAACCAAAATTAAGGACAACAAAGATTTAGAAACAAAAACACAACCAGAACAGACAGAAAATTGAACTGTGTGAAAGTCTGAAAACCATTCATCCAGACCGGTAAGAGGGGCAGAGTTGGTGGCTGGTGGAGAGGGGTCTCAGAAAGACAAGGCGGTGGCTGCCAGACCCGGGAGCACAGGCGGCATGGGGCTGACCATGGTCACACAATCACGTGCAGATAAACCAGGCAAAAATGGGCAGCAAGACAGACCGCACAACCCAGGGCCCCATCGATGGGAAATAAAGCCTAAAAGCACTGACAGAAAACACTTGTGGGGGTTGAGGTACAGGGAGGGACTCCCAGCCTCACAGGAGAGTTCCTTGAAGAGACCACAGGGTCCTAGAACGTACACAAGCCCACCCACCTGGGAATCAGCATCAGAAGGGTCCAATTTGCTTGTGGGAAGCAGCAGAGGGGACTGAAATCAGAGAGCAGAACAAGCACCATTGCTCCCTCTCTGATCCCGCCCCCACATACAACGTCACAACCCAGCCATTGGGTGGCCCCACCCTGATGAACACCTAAGGCTCCACCCCTCATACGTAACAGGTGTGACTGAAACAAAAAATTATGGCTCAAACAGAAGAATAAATCAAAGCCCCAGAGCCAATACTTTTAAGCAACAAAGAGATAGCCAACCTATCAGATGCACAGTTCAAAACACTGGTGATCTGGATGCTCACAGAACTGGTTGATTTTGGTCACAAATTAGATGAAAAAAATGAAGGATATGCTAAGTGAAATGAAGGAAGATAAACAGGGAACCAATAGTGATAGAAAGAAAACTGGGACTCAAAGCAAGGGAGTAGACCGAAGGAAGAAAGAAACAACAAAACAGCAAAGAATGAAGAAACAAGAATTCAAAAAAATGAGAAGCTTAGGAACCTCCAGGACATCTTTAAACGTTCCAACATCTGAATTATAGGGGTACCAGCAGGGGAAGAGGAAGAGCAAGAAGTGGAAAACTTATTTGAACAAATAATGAAGGAGAACTTCCCCAATCTGGCAAAGGAAATGGACTTCCAGGAAGTCCAGGAAGCTCAGAGAATCTCGAAGAAATTGGACCCAAGGAGGAACACACTGAGGCACATCATCATTACATTAGCCAAGATTAAAATGAAGGAGAGAATTCTAGAAGCAGCAAGAGATTAGGGGACAGTCACCTACAAAGGAGTTCCCATCAGACTGTCAGCAGATTTCTCAAAATTGAGACCTTACAGGCAAGAAGGGGCTGGAAAGAAGTATTCCAAGTCATGAAAGGCAAGGACCTACATCCAAGATTGCTCTATCCAGCAAAGGTTTTATTTAGAATGGAAGGGCAGATAAAGTGCTTCTCAGATAAGGTCAAGTTCAAGGAGTTCATCATCACCAAGCCCTTATTATATGAAATGTTAAAGAGATTTATCTAAGAAAAAGAAGATAAAAAAGATGAACAGTGAAAGGACAGCAAACTCACAGTTATTAAGAACCACACCTAAAACAAAAGCAAACTAAGCAGACAGCTAGATCAGGAACGGAACCACAGAAATGGAGATCACATGGAGGGTTAGCAACAGGGGAGTGGGAAGAGGAGGAGAAGGGGGAGAAGGTACAGAGAATAAGTAGCATAGATGGTGGGGAGAAAATAGGGGGAGGGCAAGAGTAGTGTGGGAAATGTAGAAGCTAAAGAACTTATGACACATGGACATGGACTAAGGGGGGGGAATATGGGTGGGGGGTGTGTGCAGGTGGAGGGGAATGAAGGGGGGGAAATGGGACAACTGTAATGGCATAATCAATAAAATATATTATTAAAAAAATTCCACAGGAGACTGCTCTATCTGTGGAGGAACCCATTTTCTGTCTCACTGCTTCATTTATAAACTCAATTCCACTTTAAACTAAAAAAAAAAGTCCACAGGGGCTAACGTATCATGAATCAGGACTCATCCATCCCACCCCACACCTAGAGGGCAGGACTCCTGGATCTTTTTCAGGGTGTTGGTCTCCCAAAGTCAAACATGCTCTCTTGACCCCACTTCACATCCCCTGTGGTCAACCTCGACTACAGGGAAGCAAGCTCCCCCTTTCTGGGCTCCTATACAGGGCGAGGAAAAAGTAGTTTACAGTTGTTCATAAGAGAAAGAATACAATAACTAATAAATAATCAAACAAGAATAAACTGTTTCACATCCTCACAACTATAAACCTACTTTTGCCCCACCCTGTATGTAACTGATTTTTCAGCTGAAAATGCAGGTCATTAGGGTCAAATGCCACTGAGTGGTCAAAGACGATGAGAGCCTGAGAAACGCCCAATGGATTTGGAGTCAGGGGGCTGGTGAGGGCAGAAGGGAGCCTGAGAGTGCTTAAGAGTAAGAGACAAGAGAGTGGAGACTGCACGTGCAAACTCCCTGTTTAGGAAGCTTGGCAATGGGAAGCCAGTTGGGATGACTGGCTCCGCCCCAGAAAGTTTCAGTCTTTCCCTCCGTTACTCCCCGGTTATTGGACAGACACTGACAAGAAGCTTGATTCTCTCGTGTCAAGCAGTACAGTAAAGATCTACTTTTGTAAGACCAGTGATATTTTACCCGAAGAGAAGGTTCTTCTCAAACACCCAGGTGGCACAGTGACATTAACCAAAACCAGTCACTTTCCTGGAAGGGAAATTGTGGCTGAGGCCAAGATGATGAAGTAATATTTAGGTAGGGTGTGTCCGTGTGGGAACCAAGGGCAAAGAAGACAAGAAAACCAGGCAAGGTTTGGAAGGAAAGGTAGCCTTAGGAAATAGAATGCAGTTTCTTAAGAAGCAGAACTGTAATGTTTGGATAATTTTCTTATTTCCTTCAATTTTTCTTTCATGTTCCCTATCCTTAGTATTTGCTAAAATGCTTGCTGAGCTCAGCTATTTTTAGAAAAGCACATTAAGGTCTGTGAGTGAAGGGGACCACCGGAAGCAGCAGAATGTACTGGG